CCCATCAAGCCTTTGCCGAGCCCCTTCCAACAGAGTCAAAGGAGCCTCCTTCCGTCCTGTTAAAGCAATGGCTGTGGATCTCTTCCCTCAGACCAGGCACTGCGAGTTACTGATATTCTTTGAAAGGGTTGACTATGCAAATGGAAGCTCTGCTGAAGCAACACCTGATGCTACTCAAGTCTCAGCAGCAGGATGCAACTCAGAGTGCTTGGATGGCACCAAACCATTGAACACCGATGCAAGCCAGGCAACTTCCCTAGATGTAGATACTGCATTTGAAGAGAGGGAATCAACTTAACTCTTGAGACTGCTTTTGCTTGTTCGTGGCTTCAATAACACTGTTTCTGTAACATCCAGAAAATAAATCTCTGTACAGCAGAGTTGCTGCAAGGCTTCCAAGTTATTTCATCATACTAATTTGAGGTAAATTTCACTATGTGCTATTAGGCCAAATCTTGTTTTTCCTCCTGCCCTCAAGGAGAAATTTAGGTGAGTGAAGTAATATACATGATGGTCTCTTCATTTAAAGCTGTTTCAACTGTTTTAAAGTGTTCCACAACTATATTCAGATACCTTCACTCAAATGCCTCCTATGTCACTAAATTCTGTAGCTCCACGGAGGTTTTTGATCCTGTAGTAGCTTTAAAAGGGCTAACCTCAGCCTTGTGGAAAACACACTTATGGAAGGGTGATGCCTAATTCAGTGATTACTGAAGAATGAGAAAGTAGTAAGAATATTAGCTAGCTTATGCAGTGTTTGAAGTTGAAACTTCAGTATACTTTTAGACACAGTTTCTTTCTACCAAACCTGTGTCCTAGACTAAAAAAGATCTCTCCGGCATTTTTTACTGAGCCCTGTGCAGTAGTAAAAGGCATTTGTGTTTAATGCAAAACCTTAACAAAGTAAGCATATATGGCAGTTACCCAGGTCACAGCAGTAAACCCTATTTAACTATGAGGCCCAGTAGCTTAAGCTGCCCTCCCAGTGTGCATTATTGAGTGTGAAGACAAACTGGGCTGAGACCCCTACCCTTGCGCAAGTTGCTTTCCAGGCAGGATTCATACTTCTGTACACATGCTCAGCACCTACCATTAATTTCACACATTGTGATCCATGCAACAGAACAGAGTAAGACTGATTGTTAGAAGGAGTAACCATTTTAAATCTCAAGTTATCAAACATACTTCTAATGTACATTTAATATGAACTAAAAAAAATAATCTAGTAATACAGCACATGGACTTGCTGATACCTTCCTTTCCAGTTAGGTACGTGTACAGCAACAGGCAACAAAACCAGCAACTCTGGGTTGTGTTGTTTCCACCTGTGAGATCATTTAAATAAAAATACAAATTCCAATTCAATAAAAAGTTTTAATTTGGTTTCACTCCAAGTGATGTCTAACCATGTAAACATTCAATTCCTTCCTCACCAAAAAAGTGGTAAGGACTTCTGTACTGATTTAATTTATATTTAAAAATGCCTACAAGAATCAAGGAATATAACTTCCTTTTTCTAAATATGCTTAAGCTATCATAATACTGATCACACTAGAGCATTTTATAATATCAAACTTTATTGCTCAAAACTAATTGTCTGAAAAATACACATGTAGTACTCAAAGACCAAACACATAGGATTATATGATTGTGCAGAAAAAAAGCAAGCAGAGGCTCAGTGAAAATGAGGCTTTATAGTTGTACCAATTCAGCACTGGCATCAAGCAACTGCACCCAGTACAATTCATACAGCAACCATTGTTACCTACTTGGGCACTAAGAATTACTTCTGGTTTATTTTTTCACTTTCCTTTCTCAGATACACATCAGAATACTGTAACTGATCATTTTATTTGGTTAACAACAGCATGGCTTCTTGCACTTCACATTTCTTCCCATGGTAAGTTAGAAGGCTATCACTTCCTGAATCTCACTCCAGAACCAAAGTACAGTCTAGAGAATTAATAAGATAATCATGATGCTTTTAAATACTTGAACGTTACAAACAGATTTGTATAAAGCCTAACAGCATCACAGGAAAATGGAAGTTCACATACATCTGTTAAATTTATGCATAAGTCTTTCCAAACTTCTGAGTACCCAACTACTTCATCAGTTTTGTTTAATAAATACGTAAGAAAAAGCTGGATGACTGGTGTTTAAATAGGTAGCATCTGACTATTCACTGGAAGTCACAGTAAGTTTTCCATCAGTACCATAAAGATTTGAATGCACACTAGTTTAATCCTTAAAGTCAATATACCACACTTTTGTCGAGAAGCACATAATATGCAAAGCAAAAACTGTCTAATTCCCCAAGGATGGCACAGTTCTTAAAAATACACTGCATCCCGATAAAAATACCCATCCTCCTCTGGATACAGAAGGGATAAATAACAAGTATCAGTGACAAAAGCAGCAGTTGTTTTATGCATTCATACAATCAAGATCTAAACCTTTACAGCCGATTACCTAGAAAACACGTAAGAGTTACAAGACAAGTTTAGGAAACATCTTGAATCACACTGTAAGTGTTCATGCAGAAGCTGAAGTTAACGCAATGATCTATCCTCTATCACAGCAGCTCGTGCTTATGTGCAAATGCAAGACTGTTACACTCCAAACAATAGTAAACATTAAAACACAAGAATACTTCACAATGACATAAACAGCAGTTAAGTTGTTTGTTCCAGCAGTTATTGCGATATTTTCTGGACATCTCTCCAGTTAAAGGCTGCAGCAAGGTCTAATACCATCTTTTCTTGTTTGTTTTTGTTAGAATGCATAATACACGTTCTAGGCTTTGGTTCACAATGAAATCTCTGGATGTTTTAATTAAGGGCAATGGTCACCTTGTGATTCTGATAGTGGCAGACTGAGGTAATACAGCAATCCTCTTAAAAAGAACGAAAACAAATTTGTAAGCGAGGCATCTATGGATATTCTGCAGGTGACCTGCAAATGCATTGACATTCTGATTTCAGAAAAAAAACAAAACAAAAGAGATCTACACAGGTGATTTGTCTTTTACAGTGCCATCCAAGTACAGCTTTTTCTGCTGAAAACACATAAGCTGAAGTAAAACCTACTTAAAAGAGTAACACATTTAGGCATAGAAGAGATAAGCCCTGTCTTTATGAAAACAAAACAAAACAATAAAAAGAGAGACAAACAGTAATAACTGCTTGTCACTACTGCACCAGTATTATATACCCTTCAAAAGATGGAGATTCATTAAAGCTATACAAAAAAAAGCAGAGGCAGTGTTTTTGTTTTAGATAGGCCACTTCTTTAAATAATAGTTTATGTCTAGTCTTCCAACTACCCGTATCCTGCTATAACAACAGGATGACAACTCGCAGAACTGAAAAGCTAAATATAATAAAAAATGGGTGATTTCATATTTGCAGAGACCTCTGAGCGTATCACTTAAACACAGAAACAGGTAAGAATCCAAGACTTTAACCTCAAACATTATATGCAACGTATCGGAGAACATCAGTTTGAGAAATAAATTAAAATCCACTATTTCCAAAATAATGGGTGATATTAAAAGGAGGTCTTAAAATACTGATCCCAATATTGTTAAAAATCCAGAGGCACTAAACTCATTATACTGCAGCACTCTACATGTAACATGGTAAAAACCAACCAACCGACCAACCAAGTCCCCAACAAAGTAAAACAACAACTGAAAAGCCCCCTGAACAAAAACCCCTCAAGCCCCAAGATCACTGTCCAGGTCAGTACCAGGAGCTGCAGCAATCACAAAGAACTGACCTCTCTCACTCCTGCAGGAGGAGGAGTGTAAAACAACGGTGCAACTCAGATAAATCACTGAAGCCCAACCACCAGCTCGGTTTTCATCACTCTCTTCTTTAAGAACAAACCAAAGGACCCACCAAAATGGTTCTAAGAGAAGACTTACTGCAGTCACCCAGTAAAGAATCCTGTATGAAGAATGAAACCCAGCAAGCAGTGCTTTCACTACAGCCACAACTGCTTCTTTTGTGCTTGGTTTAATAAAGCCTCAGATGACATAGTGAGTACTGCCTGTTTTCTAAGACTGTATTTTATAATGGTTGCATATTTGTGATTTTCTTATTCGTCAGTCAGTATAAACTGTTACGGTCTCATTCTACTCATTACTCTGTCATATTCCAAATCTACATTCTAATTTTCATTGCAGAAGTTACACGTTTTCTTTAAAAACTAAAAATGCAATTAAAAAGTAAACCCAAGAACTTCTTCAAAAAACTGAATTGCTGCAGTAATTGGAGATTTTTCAGGGTTGTGTTGTTCCTTTTTTTTTAATTCTTTGCTTTTATGGTGCAAATTAATTAAGACTTAATTGATCAAGTCAGATACATTCTGACTCCAAACAAATGAGAAACTGTTTTATTGCTGGGAGAAGGGAATGGAAAGTCTTTAAACATCTCATTGGCAAAGTATTTTCAGACTGCCAACCAGAGTCAGCTGCGTTTTGGCTCCAAGCTTTGAAAACAGCCTTTCAAACTACAGTTTTTATTTTAATCAAATAAATAGGGCCGTATTTTACCCTTTCAACTGATCTGTAAACTAATATAGGCTCTTTTCAATTACAATAAAACCTAATAATTTTGGATATCCAGCCTGTTGCTCTTAACACTACCAGGTATACTTGTTCTTTTCAAGTAATAAAACAAATCTGCATACTGTGATCTTGAGTAACTAAGCCTGGCAGGAGAAAACGAAACAAAACAAAAAACAAAAATAGCATTACTGGCCTACTCCTATGGCATTAGGAACATTGCTCATCACTTTCCTGTATTTGTCACCAAAGTGTCTTATCAGTGCATATTATTATGTGCTGAAATGCATCAAAACTCTTCACAAAAATAGTTTTAGGCATGTTCATACAAGAAGATGTACATATATTTCTTTTATATATACATATATATGAATGTGTATATATATAATATCAGCTTCAGCCTGTACATAGATATTCTGAATTTAATCCTTAAAACACATCCATTCCAAATAACGTGGATGGCTTTCCAGGAAAAAGTGCTTGATTGATTTCATCCTGTGTGAACATGCCTGTCCTCTGTGCATCTGCCCAAGTAGAGATCTTTATGATCAATGCTTTAAACGTACATCTCTCAGAGGTATTAAAAAAAAAAAGAGAAAAAGAAAACAGGAAAAAGTAATATTGCCCTGATGATGCAAAAAGAACAATGCATAACTGAAGCAGCTTGGATTTTAAAAGTTATCTTGCATTCTGCAGCAAACAATTTTTAATTGTTGAAAATCTAGCTTCCTCATTTGTTTTATTGCTCCCCACTTGTAAGTTTCCTCATTACACATCAACAGTACACAGAGGTTCACTACCAGGTTGAGCTGATTCCACTATTGTCATCTTGGGTTTCTTTCGAGTTTCCTCCTAGAAAAACAGAAACAAACCCCACCACACAGTCATAAAGAGAATAAAATAAACACCGTTTTAAAATTGTTAACAATTTTAGCCAAACTTGTGTCAACCTTTGTGAAAGGCTCCCTTGTAAATGTACTGAAGAAGGTAAAATTCAGTTATAAGCTAGTTTAAAAGTAAGGATGAAAATCTCTCTAGAAGCAGCCCGTTCCAAAATCAGGATTTGAACAGCTCTCTTTACATAGATATTGTATAAAACAAGCAAAAATTCTCAACACTGGCATCCTTCCTGTTTGTAAATACAACAAAGCATACACTCACTCTTTCTTGGGCCAGTTTTTTCATTTCTTCCTGTAACTTGTTCAGGATGTGGAGATTTGGCTTGTTCTTTTTGGCATACTGCTGAAGTTCTATCACACTTTTATCAGAGGTTTCCTATTCAACAGAACCACAGGCAACAACAGATGAGCTTTTTTGATAAAAGTAAAATACTCAAAATACATGGAGAAGTTTAATCTGCACTAGCTGTACTTCCTCAGGTATTAACATAAATTTCCATAACTTAAATATTAAGTGATATAGTTTTGACCTGGAAGACGAGAGATTAACACAACTACTACTGTCAATGAAAGCCCTCATCTTAATCTCTCAATCTCATGTTTTGGGAAGAGCAAGCTGAGAATGAATTCAGAAGAACTGAGAACTGCTCATCAAATGCACATTACCTTCATACCACGATAGGGTACAACGCTATTACGCCAAAATAGATACCGTTGACGCTTTGTTGTTTAATTTAAATACCCAGAAAAGCAAAGACACAATCACAAGTTAGGTAACAATCAAACAAAATCATGTTCACCTGTTTAACCATCTTGCTATTCTCTCTACCATACATACGCAAAAGAGAGCCCCAATTTTTCACATGTGGATGCAGTAGCTGTAGGATTTTCTGAGAAGCTAATTGTTTCCCCACTCTTTTATTTTTGCCTGTAAAAATAACCATGAAAATGTGTCAATACTGGCAACATCACATAATTAGATGAGAACAAAGATTTACTTGCATTATTCAGAATTGAGATAGCAGAGCAGAGTAGAATAAGCACGTAACAAGCTACACAGCTGAACAAGCACCTACAAAATGGACAATGAACGAGAACAGGAAAGGAGGAAGATATTATCAGAGGTCACACCAAGTACTGTACTTACACCAGCCTCGCACTGTGTGCTTGCCACAAGTCATGACATACTCGCTCTTCTGATTTTTACCAGGAATCACTTCAAACTTTATGGATGTATCACCCATTCCATGGTTTCTTAAGCACAAACAGAATCAACATCATATACTAAGTAAAATTGCAAACAACTGAATTGGTTGCACTTATCTTTGATAGTCATTGCAAGGGAATTAGATACATGAATAACAAATTCTAAGTCATTAATAACGAGTCCTTTTTTAAATGAGTAACTTGACTTGAATGGAAAGGCGAGCCTGTATAAACAAAGAATATATTTCTATGTCCCACAACTAAATCCTCATCTCAGAAGACAAGAAGCATAAGCAGCAAATACGAATTAAAGGCAGATACAGCATTAACCAGTTCAGTCCACACAACATCTCTTGCAGCCACAATGAGTGTGGTAAGCTTGGCCAGCCCATGCACATCCAAGTTACTGACAAACACTGTGGGTACCAGCAAACAGGCAAACACCACGTCCCGACCCAAACACCTGCACACAGTGGAATCTGCTCCTTATTCTGCATCCTCACCTTTTAAGGCACTCATGGAGAATCTGATATGGAGACAAGAGTCCAGCTTTACTGGTGAGTTCATATACCCGTGAGTCCTCAATACTGATATGGTTAAAATACTGCAAAGGAATTGAAAAGGATTATTGACATTTTGTGCAAATAAGAACTTGAAGCTCTTCATAAGCCTCATTTTTCTATTGCAACATATTAAACAAATTCTGTTACTCTGGGCTTAATACTTCTTTTTTTTAAAGTATTTTTAAATCTGTTATGGAGGTATTTACATCATTACAACTGCCACAACTGATCATAAATTTACAGACAGAAATTTAAATAACTCTTTTAACTCCAATTTTATATTATACAAGATAGACATAAAAATGAGAATCTTACAAATTCTTTAACATCCTTTCTCCCTCAGAACAAGGCTATTTTATTTGTTAAATAATTGTGAAATTCTACTTCAATACAAGAAAGCAAGAGCTGTTAGAAGGTTTTGTATTTTATTTTAGAACATGGAAAAAATATCTGCATTTTCTCAATTACTATTTTAATATAATACAATACAGTTTTAAGTTAAAGCAAGTATGCAAAAACACCATTCTGTATATTACATTTTAAAAATGACAACATTCCTTTCAGGCTGAACACCCATTTTTCTTTTACTCCTTACTGATGGTCTGTTACATGCGAAACTGGAAATGAACGTATCACTGATGAACGAGCCATTTAATATTTCCAGTACCTGAAAACATAGCACACGTTCTTCCCTTGCACTTTTCCTTTGGATTTTCTCAAATATGACTGCTTAAAGTCTGAATTTTCAGCAGCCTGCTCTCACACAACAGCTAAGTGAACACGCCTCAGAAGGATGGGCACTTCTAGTTCTTACTTGGTCTTCTGCGATGATCACACAAAACCAGACACCACCTAGTTCTGAACTTTTCAAGGCACCTACACCGAAGGCCACTGGAAGCCAAGACAGCTCAGGCAGTCTAGTGCCCTGGGACATTTCAGGTCTTCAGTAAGGGACCTGACGTTTTAACAGGACTAGATGTCTGCATCACAGTACATTTTCTGATCAGTCCCAGTAGAAAAAGAAGTCTTTTCATTGACACAAATCTTGCTATAAATGAAGAATTTCCCATTTCCATCTGACTGAGAAAACGTTATGAATACTCATTAATATTTCTGACATTGAAGGCATAATGATTTTAGACTCCAATAATGACTCCAATAAAGCAAGAGTTCAGTACCTCAAGTTCTTCACTGTCTTTGGGCTTCTCCTCAGAGGTCTGTTTAACAAAGTCAGGAATAAGGATTTCCAGTGTAGCTCGAGCTGCAGAAAATGATTAAGCATCTTTTTAAAGATCAAAAGATTTTTAAAGATCTCTAAGCATTTCTTTCAAACAATTAGTGTAAAAAATAGCAGAATGCAGCACTCTAAGTAAGCCCCACATGTTCCCTTGAAATATGCACTCAGAGAACAACTGTACAGATAAGATGGGCATCATCTTTTGTAAGCAGTATTTTCACTTGCACTTTTTAAGGAAAAAAACATTATACTTGTTCAAGTTGATCACAAAATATGCACCAGAGAACAACTTTATAGATAAGATGGGCATCATCTTTTTGTAAGCAGTATTTTCACTTGCACTTTTTAAGGAAAAAAACATTATACTTGTTCAAGTTGATCACAAAATGTCACAACTAATTAAACTAAGAAGAAACTGCTTTTTGCAAATGCCTATGAAAGGGAAAAAAAAGGACAATCAACTAATCTTAACAGTGATGTAGAGCCCTTAGGACCTAAAATTAGAGGGTGATCAGCCCTTAGTTGTTACAGCTGAACCCTAGTACTGCATCACTAGGGCACTCAGAACACTGGGATTGTACAAAAAGCACACAGAAAATTTGCCTAAATTGTCACAGCAAAATCTCTTTGTTCACGCACGAACAATGCTAGGCTAACGCGAACATATCTCACAAGTGCATAAAGTACCACAGCCACATTATACATCTTTACATTTCCAGAAGTTATTTTTTGTTGATCCCTGTGCTAAAGGCATTGAAATCTGGAGATAAGTACGAAGCTCTAATGTGTCAAATACATTCTCTAGATCTTAATTATTTAGATATCTATTACAGACTTGCACTATTAGAACTTAGTAATGAAGACAAGTACTTGGAAATCAGTAGTCACAGTGCAATTGTTTCATTACTAGAAAGAGAAGCAAAACAACCAAAAGCTTGAGCATTTTTTTTGGTTTTGCCCTACTTTAGAGGTTTACATTTTGCCAAAATCCACACACCAGGTGTTTACATAGCAGGTGACAGTATAAATATAAAAGCCTCAACTCTTTCTTACTGGTCTGATCATTGGAAACAGATGCTCTTACAACTACTGAGTACACACGATTTACACACAAATTAACATCTGAAGTTTCTTCATGGTTCTCTATCCAAGTTCATTGTTGAACCCAGGGTTGTCAGAAGAGTCTCTGCAACAGGATTTATCACTTCTACCAAGAAGACACAAGTGTACCTTGTTTTGACTATAGACAAAATTATTCCTACTTAGTATAACAAATATGTCATCTTCAAAGCAGAAATGAAAACAGACAAACAATTCAGCACTTGGTATTAAGAAAGAAAAAAGCGTTACCAGCTTTATTCTTGGCAAGTTTTTTGCTGCTGGCAGTTCCTGCCCCATAAGTTACTCCATCAATAATCACTGAGGCTCCAAAAGGTTCACTTGGGTTCTCTGGAAATGGAAGAAGAAAAGAAAGGAAAGCTGTTCAGAACTCCCCATGTAAAATACTCGTCATGAACATGAAACACCACCACTATAAAGATTTGGTTTTTCCTTCATTTCAACTTCAACAGGGATGGAAATTGTTTACTCTTCAGAAAGACGGAAGCATTAATTACTCCAGTGTATGAAAAACTAATAGAGCTTTCCGTTAATGGAGACTCACCACCACGTACTTCATTCTTCCAAACAAAGAAACTTTACATTTTAAGAGACCATTTATACTCTGACAGAATTCAAATGTTAATTCCAAAGTTTCTACATAACTAACACAGCATAAATACAAGAGCTACACACTCCGATATTGAAAATTCAGTTACGCTATGTAACGCATATATAGGAGTAATGTAATCCTGAATAATGATAGATTCCACACTGAACTAAGATACCTGACTTGCAATCCTTGGACTCTGACTGCAGGAATTAATACTTTCAAGCTTGCTGCTGCAAAAAGTGTAATTTCTTCCTTCTACATAAAGTACCCCCAAAAACCCCAGCAAAATCAAAAGTGCAAGAAACATATGCTATACCACTTTGTAAAGCAACATCGAGTGCAGCTAAGTAAGGCAATTTGTCTCAGGTTTACAAAAAACAAATCCAACATTGATTTGATTCCCGTTTTATTTGCCATATATGCAAAATTTTCAGGTTCTTGGTTAAGCATCAAGTGTATCCCTCCACAATATTTATCTAATATAAAATTCTCCCCAAGTTTTTGTTTTTCTGAGCGCTAGCATCACTTACACAGTGCCAGTATTGCCTAATTTGGGAACTACAAACTGCCTCTCTCACCAGTGACACAGAACAAAATTAAAAGCTGTTTAAAACCACAGATATCCATCCAGCAATTGACATAAAACCCACACTAGTCACAGAACAACAGAGTCTCAGTAACTCTTTAAAGTTACTTCTAGTCCAGTAGTATGACACTTCAATTTCCAATCTTATAATACTATGAACAAAGTTACTCAAAATTTGTAACATTTGTATTAACAATTCCTACCAATGCAAACACAAGCACAAAAATATCTCAAATTACTGCAGCTTTAGGGAGGGTACATGTGCGTCTGCAGAAATCTTTCCAATTCTTAAGTTTCATAACTGAAGAACTACACATTTCTCTTCAGAAACCGTTTGGGTTTAGTATTTAACTTTCTTTTTTCAGGATTCTGACAATTCATTAAAATAATGCCTGCCTTACAATTGGATTGTCTGGACACCAGTGACCAGAAAATAAAGCAAATATTAATTGTGCATGATCGGCCAAACTGGAATTGCCTGTATGCCACTGATGTGTTCTTTAGATGCAAATGAGTTACTCAAAAGCGAAATCGCATAGCGTTAATTTAAACATAAGACTGCTCTTATCCTCCAAAGCTAAGTTTAAGATACAGAAAACATTTCCTAGCTAGAATTTGACTCACAATAAACTTTTAAGACACTCCCTAGGAAAAACGTCCAGAATTTATTCTTTTTTTCAGATATCCAAGCATGCAATAAGCCCTTCAAAACAGCACAAGCTCGGTAAAGAAACTTAAGACTTACCACATTCAAAGAAATTGTAAACAGGGCGAACCTTTAGGACTCGTTGCATATATTCATGCAGTATGCAAACTTCGGATTTCCCATTGGGATTAATGACAAATTCTATTAAAAAAAAAAAAGGAGAGACATGGTAAGACAGCTACATAGTTCCAGTCTTTATATAAACAAGATATCCTTAAACAACAGTCCTTTCACTAATTATTTTTTTACTAGGAAGTATTTTTTGGCAGTATTTTTCCTTTACTATGCAGTACGATGGATCCAAGAACACAGAGTTCTGGAACAAATGAGACTGATTACAGGTATTTTATTTTTTTTTGTCAAGCTTAGAACTGTAATAAGTCTTTGACACAGAATATTTGAACTACAGGTAGACCAACTAACCTTTCTTCGTAGGCGCATCTTGCACAGACAAGGTAATGAGTTTCTGATTGGCAGGCAGAATAGGCCGCTCCGATTCCGCCTGCTTCCGCTTCATTTCACGATTGAATTGCCGTCTCTCAGCCCAGGTTCTGAATTTTTTTACAGTAACTTGTTCAAAGTCAAAACGCTTTTCAAGATAGCGTCTAAAATCTTCCAGATCTGAGAAACACAAGCAAGTTACTCTCTATACCACTGGGCAAGCATTAAATTCACCGTTTCCACTGTTTTAAACATGTTCTAATTATTCAGACTAGGAGCAAAAGTAGTAGCTTCAGTTCACATCCTCAAGGTTAAGATGCTATTTTATATTAACAGAACTAATCACAAGTTTTCCTGTTACTGGGTCAAATGCAAAACGTTTGTGTAAACTGGAAAACAAAACAAAGAACACATTACTCTGTCACTTGAAGATTTTACTAAGCCCTAACCAGCAAAATACCCAACACAGTTTGCCACAAAACACTAGTAACTGTTCTACTTCATCACCTGTTCACCTTCCCATTACCTGAAGCACGGTGTACAGTGAGTAGCAGTAGTTCTGCTATTAACCTCAGCTTCCTGAAGCCAAAACTGACTATTGCTAACCATTCATTCAACAGTGTACCATGCAACACTATATAATGATGCTCCACGAGCTCCATTGAGTCTCTGCTAGCCCCTAAACAGAACTTAACACATTCATTTTCACAGTGCTAAAAGACCACCCCCTCCCCCTCGACGTACAGCTGCTTCTCTTTTATAAGATATTTCCACAGATATAATCAGCAAAAATAAAGAGTAGCATCCCAAGATGTAAACAAAAACAAGCTGCTGGCATTGTCTGCTTCCACAAGGAATTCCAAATGCAAGTCACACTTATACTCGATCACTTAGTATTTTTTCAGTAATACAGAACAGATCCTATTTAAAGAGAGACACAGACAGGTAAACTTCATGTAAGAAATAAATACATACCAGTTTTAGTTTTGATGCTGAATATTGAGGTTTGTTTTTTGGTGTTTTTTTAATCTTTTGGCATGGCTTTCAGACTGAACAGGACAGGTATCATGATGACAACTTATATGTTTGAAAACTACAAAGGTAAGTGGTAGCCTACTACACATAGCAGTATTCTGAGCAGCAGCAATTTACATAGACAGTACTCTCAGATACACACTTGTGAGAAGTGGCACATAAGCTCTCTAAGTTTGGCAGTTATTTTGGCATGACTTTTCTAGGCAGCTTTTTGTACGAAAGCCATCAGACTTACATAAACAAACTAATGGAGGATCACACCCTTTGCATGAATGTAATTATATTTGCATAACTTATTCTGCTAGACTTAGGCAAATAAGCAAATCTAATTTAACTGCACCATTTATCTTAGGAGATTATACTGAAAAATAGGTATTTCAGCCAATACAGAGCCTATTTAAAGAAGTTGCGCAAACACATTTGACAACAGCAATTCAAACGTACAATTTGCACACTTAATTGATTCTTAAACTGAGATACAGTCCACAGGACTCAACTTCCACAATTTCCACATTTTTGCATGTAAAGCCTTTGCATGTGGACTCTCAAATCTTTTGCAAAAGTCTACACTGTATGTTTCCCTTCCTGTCAGAATCAAAATTTATTTCTAGTATTTATTTCTAACACTGGATCTATTTCTTCAGATCTCCGCATACAAAAAAAGTCCAGAAAGACAACTGACCACTTGATCTCAGACAAGAGATTATTCAGTTGCCAAGTCTGGAATACAGCATATCTATCTCAAATGGCATTACTCCAAGCCCAAGCAAGAAAAGACTCCACTTCCCATACATACCTACAGATTCATCTTTACATACTTCAACTTTGGCCTTAACTTGTCCTAAGGCTCCTTGTGCTGCATCTCCCCCGGAGGGGTCTTTGTCATCTAAAGGCCCAGAATCAGCAGCAGTAGAATCTGGTTCTTCTGTTTGGCAATCCAGTTCTGAAGATTTATCTAGGTGCTTTACAGGTGATACTTCCCCATTTGGGGTTATGTCATTGTTTTGTTCCCTTTCCTCATTTTCCTTCATTTTTTTGTAATGCAAGCAGGGAATGCTAGTAAGGGGAGGATCATGTTTCTGCAAATATAAAATAATACAGAAGGCTTCATTACCTTTAGGTCACTAAAAGCAAACACAAAATTCAAAAACCAAAGATGTAATTAAGATGGAAGTTATTTTTATTTAATCTAGGCTTGAGTTTCAATTTGGTCACCAATCATGATCTACTCAAGATCTGAGTACACCCACTCCTACGGTACCCTGGCACTGTGTAACACTGACACTAACCTTCAAAGTGTGTTTGCTGTTTTAGATCCAAGTTCTATTCTGTTAAATTACATGCAACTACTACATGCTTTCATAAAATCCACTGAGCTCTCTTGGGGTTTAAGCCCATGACATTAAATATAACAGACTCCTTGGGTTCATGAACGTCACATGCTTATTTTTGTAAATGCAGACCAGAAGCCACAGCTCAGGCTAGTTTATAGCTACAAATGAATGATCTAAATATATTCCATGGTAGGATGAAACCAACATTTTGCAGCCACATGCTAGAACAACAAAGGCACCAAACAACAGTCTCATTCATTTTAACTACCCAAACTCATGGCAAAAATGGAAAAACAAAACACTGTAAGAAAAATAATATTATCTTTTTAGAAACAGAGGCATTTATTTTTCACGTACCTTAATTCTAACACTGAAAAGAAGCCTGCTAAAGTAGAAAAATATTCAACCATTTGCAGGAACATATCTAATTTTTAAGTCTCAGTAAGTAACTGACAGCTCTCACCCGTATGCTTCCTGTTCCCAAGAAATAAGGTCTAGACCAGGTAACAACTCTAGATTCTCTGTGCAGATATACAGGAATGC